TCTCATCCACCCTTTGACACACTAAGCTGTGCAAGGCAGGGGTTTGAAACACCTTTTCTTGCATTACCAGTGTAAAGTCACCCAGAGCTGACTCACCTGTGGGAACAAGCTGAGTCACTCTGCACCTGCATTTAGTTAATCGGAATCAAACGGGAGGATCGACCTTGGCTAAGTGCTTTGAGAGACAGAATGTTATGTCTCAAAGCGGAAAACCACTTTAACCAGCCTGCCTGATAAGCGCGTGTTTTTCTGCCGTGGCTGAACACAGCCACCACATGATGCGAGTGTGAATGTGTGGGATCACGGCACTGGTTTGGGACGATCCTGGGAATTTCGGTTAACTAAAACAACAAATGCTGTTTATGAGAGAATATGAATAAAAAGGGGAACACCAAAAAGGGTTGGTGGACAAGTGCTAAAATTGAACTCTGTGTGTGCAGCCTCATTTTCTCCTTCAGTGCCCATACTCACCCCTCTGTCAGGAAAGGGAATATTATGTTTCCTTCTATGTTATAAATACTACAGTGAATGAATTTAAACTAATTAGAAATTATGCTTAATTAGAACATTGCTTAAAAAACAACAAAAAAAAAAGAAAACCAAAAAAGAGTGGGGCTGCTAATAGCGAACTTGGCATGTTTACTACAATTCCAAGTGTGAACTCTGACCACCTCTCATCACTAGCTTACAGCTGCAACCTTTAACCACCACACTGTCAGATTCCTGAATCTCCAAGGAAAAAACACCTATAATAGTTAGAGCTGGAGGGACTTTTGGAAGTGCAAATATTAGAAGCACATAAAACCTCCGTGTCACACTTTACAAGCTTTTAACCTGAAGCAAGTCTGCCTACTTACTGCAGCTTTTGTGTATTCACCCGTTGCAAGTGACCCTTGGGAACTCATCTCAGCAATCAGGAGACAGCCACGCTGGAGAGGAAGACCTACTTCCTTCAGACCCTTCACAACTCCAGAGCCTGGAACCACATGGGCATTAATGATGTCTGCCCAGGATGCGATTTTGAATACACCACCTGGGAACAGGGAGAGGAAGACATGGACAAAGAGTCACCAGAAATCTGTTAAACAGGAAACACAAGTTAAACAAAACCAGCTGCACCCTAAATCACTCACATTTTAAAAGACAGTTTTACTACTGAAGCTTGACAGTTTCAAGTTCAGTCTCATCAGACAGTTCTGATAGCTGATAACCACAAAGTGTAACCTCTCAGTTTACTTGTCACAAACACTTGCTAATATCTCACCTTTAGTATTCACTGAGACATTTATGGTAGCCTAGAAATCCACTGTCACAGGTGCTATCTTCCCAGACAGTATGCAGATCATATGGGACATAAGGATCAGCAAAAGAGAAAAGCAGTTCTACAGTTGCAGATCCAATGTCAAATGAAAGCTGTAACAAGCACACAATAATAGCAGGCTGCCTTAAGAAGCCAGGCTGCAGTTTCTCACAGGAGACAACTGCTCAGGAGTACTTACTGAGCACAACTACAGATTCATAAAAAGGTTTAGGTTGGAAGGGACCTCAGGAAGTCACACCCTCTCAGCAGGGTTAACTTCAAAGCTAGATCAGGTTGCTCAGGCCCTTGACCCCTTGAGTCTTTTCCAAAGCTGGAGATTCCACACTCTCTCCTGGCAACCTGTGCCAGCACTGCAGTTACACACACCAGCAGCAAAGTAACAGTAAATCAAGGCTGTGCCAGCACTGCAGTTACACACACCAGCAGCAAAGTAACAGTAAATCAAGGTTGATGTTAATCACCTTCATATTGATGTTTCACTGTGTTTCCAATGTCTGCAAATTTCCTGTCTTCAAAAATCAAAAATTCGTGTTGGTCTGCAAGGGTCCTCAACTCCTTTACTACCTCTGGGGTGAAATCATTCAAGATGTCTATATGAGTCTTCAGGATACAAATGCTGGGGCCCAGGATGGCAGCTAACTGCAGCAGCTCTTTGGAGCTAGTGACATCAGCAGAAAGGCACAGGTTTGTTTGCTTTTTTTCCATGAGCATGAGAATCCTGGCTGCAGTAGGATGCACCCCTGGCAGCTGGGCACGAGCACTGAAGCTCAGCTCCTTACAGAGTCTCTTCACAGGAGCAGGACCATTCTGAGCCACTGACTCAAACATATTTCCCTGAATGAATTCCTTCACCTTTTCAACCATCTCAGCAGCCACTTCTCCCTGCTGCTGGAGAATCTCCAACACCCCGGACAAGGTAGACACAGAGTGCAGGCGAATTCCATGTTCCTCTAACCTAGCCTTCCCACCCTGCTCCCTGTCCAACAGCACTATGGCATCTGTGACTCTTAATCCTTCTTTCCGAAGAACTTCTGCAGTTTCCAGTACACTGGATCCACTTGTCACCACATCTTCAATGATCAGGCATGTCTCTCCCGGATTAATGGTGCCTTCTACCATCTTCTTAGTACCTTAAAAATAGAAAGCAAACATTCCATCAAGAAAGTTTAAAAGACCTCAAAAAACTTAAAAGTATCAAAACTTTAACTTGCTCTGCTAAAATAAAGATCATATTTGTTCCACATACAAGCATACACTACAGCATATCCTGAATTCCAATGGAACTGGACTTCAAGAGATTAGGAATTTCACGTTCAGTGTCAGTATGGAGAGGCAAATTTTTTATTAGAATGTGATACCAGTTATCGCAATTCTTACCACAGCTCAGTTGCTTATCTGTAACTTAATTAATAAGGATTGTTACTTTTCCAAGCTCATGAAATACTACTTTATGTTTCCAGAAGTTACGTTCTATTAACAAAACTGACACAGTGTTAACAGCACAGATTCAAATGTTTGAATGACTTCAGAAGTTTATTATTGTCATGAATTGAAAACTCAGAATTACAGAACTATTTTCTCGTTATTTAAAACATGTTTAAAGCAGCCGAGTAATTGGCACTCCTTAGCATGTTTCCTATTTTCCACAGACAGCATTCTGTGCTCAATATGCCTGTTTAAACAATGAGAAGAAGTAAAGCCCCAAATGCCTTTGTCTTAACTAACAACAGCCACACATCCATGAAAGGCCTCCTGGAGGGAAACAACAAAGGATGCCTGGCTTTCCCAGGAAGCACAGAGCAGCAGGAGAACATTATGCAGTGCATTGCTTAGACCATGGCAGCCTAGAGAACAAGCACATGTACAGCTTCCCAATCTGTATGACACCAGAAACTTTGTGTCAGGCAGTTAACTGCTGTCACAGCTGGCTTGTGCTTCACAAGAAGGAAAAGCAAACGTTTCCATGCCTGGCCCACTGCCTGACACAGGCGTAGCATTTAGTCTTGACAAGCGTACTTTCTAATTACACGCTGTTGGAACAGGACAGCTCTTATCACGCGTAGAAATCCAGTTATATGGCAGGTTAATGCTTCAGTCCTCTCTTCCTTTATCAAAATCAGATAAATGGTTCATTGGGTAGAGAAGGGACTGCTGCTAACCCAGCCTACTGATTACAGGACCACAGGAAAATTAAAGAAAAAGGGGTTTGAGAAATAAATGAAGAAGGGACTAGAAAGGTTCTTCTTGGAGTCAATACGCAAAAAGTTCTGCTCAGCATGTTAGAGAATGTGAGTTATAAATCCTCGTTTCTGGAAGAGGCCACTAACCCAGAACCACAGTAATGGGCTAAGAGAAAAAAAAGACACTGCTAAAGAATTGAAACAAACAAACAAAAGAAACCCCTTTACAAACAAACCCAAAGAAACAAAAAACGCCCTTCAAGACTCTCCTAACCTACTACAGCAGGATTCAAGCTGCAGCCTAGTGGGCAACAGCTGGGAGAGCCTGATCAGGTTGGGATCCTGTGGGAAGTATGCTTTAGGGTGAAAAGGAGCTGCTTTTTAAATAACCTTAAACTGAAATGCTGTACATCACAAAAGAATCACCAGTATATAAGGTAATTCCCAAACAAGACAGCAAGTTGACACAAAGTCTTGATTTGATGGTTTTACCGTAGTCTTTTGCTTCCTTCCTCCGTATGAGCATCGGGACCTGATTTTCTGAGCAGATAATTGTGGCCAGCGGCAGCGCCGTGTATGGAACACCACACACGCAGTCATACACCAGACCCGCATCTTTGGCTGCTTGGAAGAGGAGATCCGCAACCTGAAAAAGGAAAACCAAACGCTTTTTAAAATCGGACGGGCGCGAAAGTGACTAAACTAATGCATTACCGCGGGAAGCAATGAAAACCTCGCTCCTTTACATGTTCCCACCGCGATCCGACAGCCCGGCCCCGGGAAGGGCTCCCTGGAGAGCAGCGCTCCCGGGTCCCCTCTGCCCCCTGAGCTGTAGGAGACCCGTCACCCCGCACGGGACAGACACCGCCGGCCCCTCGGGGACAGACACCCGGCCCCGCACCTGCCGGAGGAGGCGCGGGTGGGACACGAGGCCGCGCAGGTCGATGTACACGGGGGAGGCGCGGCCGCTCTTGAGCACGAAGTGCCCGAAGCGCAGCGCGCCCGCCCCGCTCAGCGAGGCCGCCACGATGCCCGCGGCCGCCATCGCCGGGCCCGGCGCAGGGAAGTGATGCAGCAGCGGGAGGAGCGCGGGGCGGCCACACCCCCGACCCCGGCGGGGCCGGGCATCCCCGCACGTGTCCGCGCCGCGGGGACCAGCCCCGCACAGAGCCCGGGTTCCCCGCGCCCACCTCCCCACGCCCGCGCCATCCCGGCCCGGCCCCCCCACCCCACGCCGCGCAGCGATTCCAGGTTCTCCCGTCACCCCATTCCCCAGGGAAGCAGAAAACGCCGCTGCGGGGAGGGTTGGATGTGATCCGAGTTTCTCTCGGGGTGACACCCAAAAGGCCGCTGGGTGGATGGAGCCACGCTGAGGGTTGGCTGCAGTGACGGTCCCCGGTGCTGGTTTCCTGTGAGATCCCTCCGAAAAAGATGAGCTGAATAAAGGCACAGCCAGCCCTGAGCCGTCAAGGCCTCAGAAAGATGCCATACAAGTGAAATAAGACTGACTCGGTCTTCTCCGAATAATTTTATTTAATCAAAAAAGCCCAGAAACGGAGTCATTAGTATACTCTATTTATAGGACAGGAGATGTACAAGTCGAAGCTACATCTGTAGATGATCATATATACTGCAGTATAGTAACAACAACATGGGACAGCAAGTAGTCACCTCACAACAGTACACATGAGTGATTAGACTTACAAAGGAAATATTTACAAACCTGCCTTTACAAACCAACATTGTGTGCATACAAAATGAAATCCGCAATAAAACTGAAGGTACATTTAAGGCAGACCAGCAATACACTGAAATAATTAAGGCTGTGGAATTACTTTGCACCTTGAAAATGCCGAGCTGTTAGCAATACTGTTTCTTTTTTTCCTCCTTCGGTGGATTGTTGCAAAGATTGAAAAGCATCAATACATTCCAACTGTTTGCTCTGATCTTGGTGAATAAGTCTGAGATAGATTTATTTTTTTTATTGTTTGGTTTTTTTGCACTTCCTATTGCATTTGCCTTCCAAAAGTAATCAGCAAATTGACCTCAGTGGCAGAGCAGTGCTGAACAGTTTGGTAGAAAGAGAAGTAAAAGCACCAGCATCAGAAGTTGGACATGAAGGTGAAATATGGCTTGAGTAGAAAAGATGTTGGTTTTTCACTAGCTCCATAATAAAGACTACAGTTACAGCAAACATTCAGCATCCTGACGCTATGGAAACACTCAGCACTATACAGATCCCAGAACAAGAGTTCATCACTTGATGGCAGTGTGCAGTCAGCCTAGTAAAATGGGACTTTGTTTCCTTGGGAAAGCACCATTTTCTGATGGGACATGAACAAATGAGCTGGAAAATTAATCCAAGCCCTGTGTTAGTGGAGAATCCACCTCTGCAGTGAAAGGAACTGAAACAAAACCAGGTGGTTAGCACCTGTACATGTTAATTATCTGTAAGACCTTTATATACAGAATAGCCTTTACATCTGTCTCTGAAGTTTATATTATCCCAGGTTACTGGATGCAGTCCCCTCATTGCAAGGGTATTAAAATAGGGTTATACATAGTCAGATGTGTGGCTCTGCATTCAGCCTTTAGGCACAGTCTTTGTAACAAAGGCCTAATAGCATCATCAGAAATGCTAATGAAGTCCACTGAAGCCATAGCACTTGTATGGGTCAGTTGAGGGCACAGACTTTGTCTCAGCATTAACTCAGTTTACCAGTAAAATGCTTTTAAAGATTACTGTTACTAAAAAAAAATAGTCTTTTAAAATAAAGGGGCAGTAAGAATAAACAAAATTTGTTGGTGTAAGTGGGAAAATTTTTTTAAATTTGGAAGTCTATATTGCTTTAAAATAAAGTCTAGAACCCTGGACTGGCTGTGTTTCATCCCTGTAGTAACATGTGTAGGGGGCCTGGCAGTGTGGTGGGAAGGGGTGGTCTCCCACAGGACAGCAAGGTCCTCAGACACCTGATGGAAGCTGACAGTGTTACATGGGCCATCAGAATTCCTCTTTGATGGCTAAGAGTCAAATGGCCTGGCCAGGCTGCTCCAAGTGAAGTGGAGAGAGGCCAGTTAGTTTAAATCTCATTGCCAGACACATTCATTAAATGCAGCTGTCTTAAATAAAGAGCACCCCATGTCATCATGTCCTCTGGGCTCCGTTTACTGGCACCTGCTGCCTTCCTGTCACCCAACCCAGCGCCAGGGAACACTGTGAGCAACACTTTGGTGTCAGAGCAGGGTAGGAGTGCTGTGGAGATGTCTGAAGGTGGTGGCTGTGTGAGTAAGTGCCACTCCGCATGGAGCTCATGGTGTGCCATTGCCAGTATTCCTGTTGGTCATCCTGGCTGGTCTGGAGCTGCTGCAGAAGCTAAAGAGTGCAGCTCCCACCACACCTTCACTCGGCTGTCTTGGGAACACCTGGAGTGGTACAGCTGCAGGCAGAAATCCTCCCCTCAGAGTCAGCTCAGCCTGGGGAGCTTTGTAAGGGCCTGACGGAGTTTTATGGAGAAACTGTGTTTTCCTGTGTTTGCTACAGGCAGTATTTCATGCACCAAAAAATCCTCTAGTCGGAGAATGCTGCACAGGGAGTTGGCTGTGGTGCTTCTCACCCAGAGGGTGCACTCCAGGCCAATTTACTGAGCTTTGTAATCTCTTTACAACAAAGTTACAGTTTACAACAGAGTTACAGCACCTGTAGGATCTGTAGAGAGGCCACAGATTGGCTGAGAAAGACCTCAAAAGGGCAAGCTCAGAATACTTCCTCTGTATCTATCATATGGCAGCATTGCATGTCAACTTGACGTTATTCAGGCAAAAGAAATCTTTGAGACAAAATACAAGAATGGTCGATAATCACAAATGTTATCTAGAAGTTCTAACAGGTTTAAATACTCCTGTATGTGCTGTACGAAGAGTGGTGCCCAAGAAGAGGAGTTCTCTAATGTGTATATGGAAAAAGCAAAACCACAAAGGAAAGCAACTCCACAGCATTCAAAATCTTCAGAGTTTAGCACTTCCAGCTCTCAACAAGGAATCATTTTTGAATCTGAGAACCTAATAATGTATCCTCTTTCAGCCTTTTGGGTGTTCTTTTCTATTATTTGATAGCAATGAGAGGCCTAAATATTCCCTTAAGCAATCCAGCTTTTTCCCACTGTGCATCCAAAGTGTCTGCTATTGCAGTTTGACATGCGAATGCAGGAGGAAGGAAAATAAAATGCTAAATAACTCCAAGTTTCATGTGATACATGAGAATTTGTTCATATTAATGCCAAGCAGAAAGCCTGTGGCTTAAACTGTACCCATGGGCCTAATAAAAGCTGTGGGTTTTATAGACCACACTTCCATAAACATTTTTTTAAGGGCAGTGCAATCACAGTACAAAAAGCCAGTTTTGACAGATAGGAAGAAGTACAGACAATCCTTTAGGAGAAGGTACCTGAGGCAGGTGCTAATTAAAGACACCCCTTGACTGCTGTCTGCATTCAGTTGCTAAGAAATTGCATACTTTGCACTGTTGCTCAGGACAAGACTGGTCTTTTTTAAGAAGTGCTGCTGAGTTGCTTAGAAAATCAGCTGCTGCACTACAGAGGGAAACTGAGATAGGTTCTATATGACCCAAAAAGTTTAACCTTCTGTGAACACTGTCTCTTTCAAGCCTTTCCACAACTCCTCCCTGTATTAGATTTCTCTCCCTTGGCCACAAAGCCTCGTATACCGCTTCTGACTGTGCTCACCCTTCTTACTGTGACTCTCCCATCTCAAGGTTTGTTCTTGTATTGCATGAACACTGAGTTTTTTTGCTGAGCCTCCTTTCTTCTCCACTAGCAAAATAGTGACCACCCCCACGTACTGATAGAGCAAGCACAAAGATAAGGGCCAGGTCTCCTACCTGCCATGAAACTCAGTTGAGGGGTGGATCAAAAAAAGGGCTATCAGAGCCCTCAGAATTTAACAGGACTCACAGGGTATCTCCACCACCTGCTGGCAGAGATAGCTTTTGCTCATGCAGGCTCACAGTACAGTTACTTGGACAGTAAATCAAATTTGACTCTTGCACTAACAAGAGAGTCTATACTGAGCACACATGGTCAGATCAAGCCCTTTTCCTTAGGAAAACCTTTGGTAACATCCCACTACAGGCACAGCAACTGCACTCAGCACCGAGACAAAGTCCTCACATGCCAGAGGAAAAAAAATAAATCTCTTTGATGGTCAACCAAGAGGCTGTAGATCTCTATGGTGGTATGGCAGTAGGATGGGGAAGCCCCAGCCAGGGAGGTGTTTCCCCTCCCAGTCCCACTGCTGAAGAGGAGGATTTGGCCAGCCTACAAACTGCTGATTTGTCACTGCAGACTCCCTGTGTTGGTTATACTTAAGGCTGGCTCCGTCACTGTAACATCAATATGATGATGTTGCAACTTGGCTTGCAAGAGAAAAATGTTTTAATTGTGAATATTTTTTTTATTATTACAAAGTAGGCTTTGGACATAAAAATATCCTCACAAATGCTTTGGTGATGAGGTGCTAATGGTGGCTGAGAGATATTTACAAGTTTGGAAATGAAACAAATGACATACTTTAAACATTGAAAACGATTTTCAAGCTGTAAGCACAAGAATGAACTCACCACTCCTACTGCACTCTGAAAGGCTCAGATGGACTTTGGGACGAGCAATTCTGAAACTAGAAATGGAACAGTAACCTTTATATTTATATATATTTATATATATGATACAATATATGTATACTGAAAACCTGTGATAGAAAAAAATTGTCTTCATCATCATCATCTAGTTTACAGATACTGCAAAAATTGGACTCAGCCTTTTCTCAATGCACAGGTTTTGCAAAAGATTTCTGTACAATGTGTATAAAATGCTTTTAAAAAAAACCATCATAGTCCCATTGTGCTTAGTCAGAACCAGCTATATGCTCCAGTGATTCATTGCCTTAATCATAGCTGCAAAAGGTGCTGCACGTTGACTTGACACAGCAGAAAGCCCAAGGATTAATGGAGGATTTTGGTCTGAGCATTACCACGCCACAGGAATGTACCTAAGCCATGCCACCATGGGAGCTGATCCAGCAGTGACTAGAGCCTGATCTTGCGTGTCCTATGCAGGCAAAGTCCCCACTGAAATCATGGCAGACCTGGGCATATGGGGCATGAAAAGTCTGTCTGTTAACCTGGAGCAGGCTTGCAATGATTTCAGCAAAAACTGACCAGTCTGGTTCTGCAGTACGTGCTAAGGTCAGCCTGGTCTCACTCCCCTCTACTACCCTACTCCTAATCTCTTGTACATTTTTAATTCAGTTCAGCAAGATCAAGAGGATTTCTTATAAGGCTGCCTCACAAAGATTAAGGCAACTGCAATTTTGGCTCTCGTTTCCAGTTGGTGTTTGCTTCCCGCAGTCCTCTTTTGGCAGTGGATGTGACAATACCATGTGCCCCAAGAGAGGGAGCGGGTCCCTGCTGCTATTCCCCCCTTTTCCTTGGTCCCAGGTACTGCCACTTCCGCAGTGGTCTGTACCCTGCAGCTGGGGAAGCCAGGTGAAATGCAAACACCAAATACGGGGCTATGTACAGACAGATCTGCTTGGTGCCTGCTTGCTCCTGGCGCTCCTGCCTCAGGACCAGCAGCGTAGGACCCCAGGGCTAGAGGAATTACGTGCCTGGGTTCAGCCTGCTCAACAGGAAACTCTTGACGCTGGGGACTGGGTGCACGTCGTACTGGTGCCTGCGGCGCTCGATGAAGGAGGCCAAGCGGGAGGTATCCAGTGGCATCTTGGAATAGCTGCCATTGTGTGGCTGCAGCCATGGATGCTGTAAACAAGTGGCTGCCGTTGGCCTTCTCCTGAAGTCTTCCTGGAGGATGACGTTGATGAAATCCCTGGCAGCATGACTCACATCGGAGAAGTACTCATGTGGGAAGCTGAAATCTACTCTGCACACATTGATACAAGTCTCCTCTCTGCTTTCATCCAGGAATGGAGAGACACCACTCAACATGACATAGGTGAGGACACCAATGCTCCAGATATCTGTGCTAAGGGAGACAGGAAGGCCTTGGATAACTTCAGGAGCTGCAAACTCTGGGTTTCCGAGGAGGTGGTGGACATGGTAGTGACCTGTGATCTGAACCGCGTCTTCCAAATCAATGATCTTGACACGAGGTACTGGGATTCTTAAATCAATGAGCAGATTTTCTGGCTGTTGAAAATACAATAATACAAACTTAATTATACTATATTTTGGCAAATAAAATGTGTAGGTTTCATGTAGGTTTAATAGCCAATCAAAACTCTCATTTAATCAGACATGCAAGGTAGAGATCAGGGGAGTGAATAATAAAGAACCAGCTCAGCTGCTGTTTGCTCTAAATTCAGATCGGTGCTGAAGTTGTGATGACAACATCCTCTTTTGCACTAGGGCAACACGCTGGGATTTTGCACTTTGTCCCAAATACTTACAGTTTATTTTCCCAAACTAATCTCTACAGATTAAGAGCACTGACAGATTTTTAAATTTTGATGAGATTTGTGTATCTCTAAGTAGTTTAAATTCCATTTGTTCACATGACAACTGGCTAAGTAAGTGTGTGTAACTTGTAACAGAAATGTTCTTCATGGAGTAAATGTTCAACTTTTCTCCCTCTACCACATATCCTGGGAAGGACTCTCATGTGTGCCATTACTGTTGCTGTCAGTTGACATGAATGGAGCTGCCAGTGTTCACTTTTACACATCAGGACACAATCATGCTTTCCAGGCCAGGGTGCAATTACATTTCATCCCAGTTGGTTTTCTCTCTGTTTTAGTCTCTCTCTCAGTGAGAGGTGCTGAGCACTGCCTACACACTCTGCTCTGGGGACTTAACATGAATTTTCCTTCCTTTGTTGTCTCTGAGATGATTTCTGAATTTACTTCTTGCACACTCTCTAGATCCCTTTTTCTCTCCCTCATCCTCATTCATATTTTACTGCTGCCTCATGGCTATATATATATGTAAAGCAAAGTTCACTACACTGCTGTTCCAGTCTCTGCTTGCTCTTCTCTTGTGCAGTCTGCATCAACAAAATCAACACGTCCTTGAGCTGGATCGTGGGACAACACAGTCCATGTCTATGTCTGCTGTCACTGCCAGTGCATTTCCTGCTTCCCACTTAGCAACAGAAGGTGCTTTATTTAGCATCCCTCATTCAGAAGAACTGTAAATAGGTCACAGAAAATTAGCTTCCCACCTTGTTTCTGGTAAGTATCTTATGATCAAACCGAGTATTCAGTGAAGTTTCTTACCTGCAAGTGATACCTACTTTTTGACAGGTCCTATAAATACAAACAATCTTACAGAAAGAAACCAGGATGATTTAGCCTTTTGTGTCTAATTCTCACATAAGGTACTGTACGAATGGAATTTTTTTTGTAGCAGTAGTAGGCAGCAGAAGAATGAAAGTATCACTTCATCTGACATGCCTGGGGGTTAGAGACATGAGAAAAGATCTCCTTGAAGCTGGATTGTCACTATTTAGGAAAGTAAAATTCATCTCTCTGTCTCCATTTTTAATTGGTATTTAAGTCTGCAAAAAGTTATAGATTATCTGATATCCTGGCAACCAAAATCAATGTTGCAGATCACAAACCTCAAAACACTTGATCATAACTTCAATTGCTAATTCTCTGTCATCCAGTATAACTGGGATGTTGGGGAGGACAGCAGTACAACGCTGAATCCAGGACAGTACAGTGCCTCCTGCCATGTGCACTAACAAAAGGAGGTACGAGCTGTACCAATCCGAGTGTGATGTTAGAATATGCCTGAATATCTTCTCCACAGTGCACAGAACCTACATTTCTTGTTTGTTCTTCCTCTGAACCTCTCCCTGGTTGTATTTCCCACCCAATTCCCCTCTCAGGCTCTGCAGCACAATGCACTGTGTTGCTTTCCTTTGCCCCTGCCAGTGCTCCCCATCTCCTGCTCGCTCCCATCCCCTTGCTTTGGGCTCCCCAGGGTACAGGTGCAGACGTGAGGGAGACACACGCTCCTTCTGGCCTGCCCTGAGCTGCCTGGGCACAAGCCAGCTCTGCTCAGGGAGCTTGGTGGCTAAGTTGGCAGAGGTGTGAGCCCAAACCATACCCCATAGATTTAACTTATAATTCCCCTTCAGTCAGGGGCTAATGACATCTCGCTCTTGCCTCAGACATCCTCCTGCTTCATTAAATCCAAAAAGCCCTTAAGAACAAACCAGTGAGTCAAGGAAACAGGTGTGTCTCGTCTGAAGGCAAAAACCGGGCGCTGCAGGTCAGTAAATCCTTCCTCTGATGAACAGGTCTGAAAGGCAGTCTTGTCCATTTAGTGATCATCTCCTGGGAGTACAGACTGCACCTCCTCCCTGTCTGCACAGCTGAGAACTCGCTGTTCCAGGGCATGGAATAATAGCACCATTCTGTTTTGTTCTTACCTTTATGTCTAAGTGAGCCACTCTGCAATTGTGAAGGTACTGCAATGCTTCCATTGTGTCTCTTATGTAAAACGCCACTTTTTCCTCCATAAGTTCATCATGGTTCATCAGATAATCTAAGAGACGACCGTCATCCATCCTACAAACAAATCAAACCCTGCACATGAAAGATCACATGGTATCTCTAGGAACAGTTAATATTTGAAAACAAAGTTGAAATGGAAACTTCATGACCTAAAAATGGAGGAAACTACAATGCAAGATCTGATGAGTATTTAATGATCTCTCAAGATACCACAGGCCATGGTAGAATGATTAATCCTCATTTGTTATCTCTGGTCCTTGACAAATTTAGCAACAGTCTTAAAGTAAACTCATTTGCTTAAGGATGGATTCAATAGACAGAGGCAATCCCTTTGAAAACAGAGCTTCTTAATTATTTGGATTCATCTATTTATTTATAGAGCTGGTTGCATAATGCAGAAAAAAAATCACTGACATTTTTAGCTGGTAATATATTCTGTGGGAAAACTAACCCAATAAAAGTTTTCCACCTAGTTTTATTCATCTGTACCAACAAATAATCAAATAGCCCAAATATACTTTGTTGAACACACTGTAACAAAGACTGTGGTTGTTACTTCTCCTTATAGATGCAAGCATGGTTGCTACACAGGCCTTTTCACCAAGAAGTATTAGAATGATGTAGGCTTTATTCTAGCTGAAACATATTTATATAAAAATATATATTTACTTTAAAAGTGGACAAAACTGCCCAAATAAATCTAATGTTATTCAATGGGACAAACTAACTGTGGACACAATTATCCAAGCTTCACCACAGTAGAAAGCAGTTTTATTTGTCCCTCTGAATCTTATTTACTGTAAAGAAAAGGCAGTGGAAACTCTGCAGAAAATGGCTATTTTCATTTGACATCACAATAAATAAAAAGCAGATGACAAAATCTTTGCCCTGTTGAACTCGGAGTGGGTGAATTTTATCCTTGGCTTTAATAGGGCTGTGATTCCTATCCAGACACTTGAATTGCAGCTCTGCGTACTTACAGTTCCAAAACTAAGATGTAAGAAGTAGGAGACTCGTAGGTATCGTGGATAGTGATGTACTGAGGATGCTGTAAGTGCTGTAACAAAGCTGCTTCGTGTGCTGCCTGCTCTTTCTTTTTCATTTTTTTACTAATGAATTTTACAGCAACATCTTTCCGGGTGGCTTTGTGAACGCATTTCTTTACTATGGAGAATCGACCCCTGAAATGATAAAGAAAACAGAATAATGAAGTGGCCGCATGAATAAATCATGCCTAGTTTTCAGTGCAATAACGGAGTGATTTTCTAAGTGTTATTTCATTCATCACATTAATATTTCACAAGGAATCAGATTTAACAAGTTGTTCATAACCTTTTCCAACAAAGGCCCTCCGTCTTTTACCCTGGGTGTAGAGATTCTTTGGGGATTAGCAAACACTGAGAGCAAATGGTGTCACTTTGCTTTGTGCAGCCATGCTGATGTCCTCTAACAACCTCCCCTGGGTTCAATTTGCTGCCACTTTTACAGATTCTATATCTTTTTTTTTTAGCTTTGGTCTCCCTTCTCCGGTTGCTTTATTAGAGAGACCAAACTTTCTCAGACAAGTAAAAGAACAGCCTTATTAAATAATCACTAACCTAACAGTTTGTCTCACCTTTTCAGATGCACAGTAAGAAATTAAGAAAAAAGCTGTCAGGAAAGCATTTAGGAAGCTCGTACGGACTAGTGCCTAGTACCGTTCCTGAAAGTAAAACACCCAGTGCTGAACTTGGGCTTTTACTGATACATCATTCTATTCTACACAGAACCAGAATGACTCCTTTTAGCCCAAGAATTACTGGTCTCTGACCACTGAGCTGAAGAACTAACTGCATTAACCTGAATTGTTTGCATGCCCCTTATCTGTTGTCTGCACAGAGCACCAAGGGATGACAACATATGCAGCTCCTATTTAGGCTCCTGTTCAACTGACCCTCCTAATCAGCAAAGCTTTGGCGTGTGATTTAAGCCAGTCACATGCCCAAGCGCTTTGGCAAACTCAGTCTTTGAGGTTAAGCTTATCCAGAACCAGTAAATTGTCATGACTTCAAAAGATGACATCAAATCAGAGATGACAGAGGAGATACCAGCTTCCAGAGATTTGGCTGCCTAATAGTTCACTATTTTGCCAAGTTGCAATCCTCAAATCAGAACTGAGCTTGAAACCCAAAATTTAGTTAGTATGTTAATCAGTATCTAATGTGCAATGCTCTTTGAAAGGAGCAGCATTTTCAGGCTAACTACAAAAGAAACCTAAACTCTCCTCCAAGGAAAAAGCTTCAATCCATTGTTTGAGTGTTTTATTGCAGTGATAAGCAGGGTTAATATTACCTCCCAATCTCATGCAGCTCTGCATAAGCAAGGTCAAAGTTTTCCTTCCATGAAATAGTGGCACCATCAGCAGCAGAGTCTTTGAGAGAATAAAGAACATTCAGAAAGTATAAAGACAGTTTCCTGAGGAATATAAACAGCATATTTTAAAGTTATGTGGGACTATATTACTTAAAATAGGAAACATTGCCATTAAGAGTCCAGTTTCATACTGCTCAGGCACAGCTGCAGTGTGTTGGACCACTAAACGCCAGAGCTCGCCAAAGAGAGGTGTGGATAAGGTGGACTCAAATCTGTCCTTGCAATTTTGCGCTGAGAAGGGCCACACAGACAGTCTAAGGGCATGTGTGTAACTAGGAGACAGAGCTATGCTGTGTGAGCTCTTGTACCATCCAGCACAGGCTATCCAAGCCAGTCACAGACCTGGTTACACACTGGAGCTGCTAAAACATGGGGAAATGTGGGGTCTGCTCACAGCACTGTTCTGAGTGAGCTGTACCCCAAATTCCTGCAGCACTGAGCATTCCTATTCCAGCTGCATTGCTCAAGGGGGTATGTCCTGCAAGTGGAATTGCAGCCTTCCAGCTGGGCTGCCCAGCAGAAGCCTCTGGTGCAGCCAGCATTGCTGGAAAAGCAGGGGAACACCAGCCAGGACACAGAGCCTGTTGTGCAGAGATAAAGACATGAAATAGTCTTGGGATACAAAGTAGGGACCTGCTAGGAAACTGAAACAGCTTTTATGGCAGAGGGCAGCTGTGAGCCTGGATGGAGGTGAAGACATGACAATGGTGGCAGGAGCTGGCTATTTCCCAGGCTTTTTCTTGTATTTCTACCAGGTCCAGGATCTGTGTTTTTATTGGGATCCATCAAAGCACACCATACAAATGGCACAGATGGACTCCTGTGCACATCAGCCCCTCCTTGCCCTGCCCACTCACCATACTCCGGGAGCCTCACAAATTCAGATGGGTCGCTGGGCAAGCTGATCCCCCAGGGATTGCTGGCACTCACTCGAAACTGATACTGGCAGCCTGGGGCCAGGTCCTCAATGACGAGGTATGTGTCCAAAGTTGAGGCTACTGACTGCTGCCAGACCTGTGAGCCTGCATTTACCATAGGGAGAGAAAGAGAGCTGAAGGAAACAGTCTCACTGCCTGAATTTAGGGCAAAGACTTTCTCTGCCCAACACATCCTGGGTTTTAACCCTGAGAGGTTAAAATCTACAGGGTTTTTAGGAGGCAATGTTACAGCAGACTGTTACACCAGAAATGGATCACAGGAAGCTATATTGTGTTGTAGCCACCTTCCCATCTGGCTAAATGATTGAAGAAGGAAATGCCCCTCAGTTGACTGATGGAAAAAGTGCAGCCCAGGGACAAGCTATCTCTCCAGCTGTGTGCTGGGGCTGTGTGCTGCAAGTGATGTCTCAGGGCAGCATGATAACACAGAAGTGGAGGGTGATTTGATGACAACTCTGCTATAAGAGAAACAGTAGCAGAAATATTGCAAAAAAAGCCCCAAAACCATGGTCAAAGGAGTCCCAGATGAAGCTGAGATAGGGTGTCAGTGCAATCCAAATGCTTTTGCAGATGAAGATGTGGTGGCTACAGTGACAGCTGCAGCTGCAGGAGGAGAACCAGCTTTCTGAGGCTTAGTACAGGTATCTTGCAGATGAGCAGAATTGCAGCAAAGAAATGTGTGGCTCTCATGTGTTTCTGCTCCTATCAGAAACAAACCCACCAAAGCCTAATGTGTGGTATCCAAAGGAGCAATACTTCACTCATCTGTACAGGGTCACAGAACAGAAAAGGAACCCTGGGACACCAAGCCCTGTCACAGACTGTGATTTCTTTCAAGAATATATAAAATTTTATCTTTAGTAAATTCAGGGCCTTTTACCTTTATGTTATTTACCATGACCCATATAGTTTCTGTGCACTGTGGACAAATTCTGATTGCCAAGTCTCACAACGTCAAGTTGGTTTTACAGGGAAGAGTCAGTTTTACCGGTGGAGTGGGAGGAATACTGAAAACTAAAACCACTGCTGGGTTTTTTGTTGCTGTTTGTTTTGGGGGCTGTTGTTAATAGAGGAACTTTTATTCTCTCACAAAAATGCCAGTTACACTGATGGCACAGTGAGGACCAAAGGGAGAGTATTTGCTAAGAGAAGGAATTAATATGATGGAGTAGTTAGGTTTGCACATTTACTACATTTTTGAAACACGAAGGGTTAAAACCAGAATCCATATACCTAAGACAAAATTTACTGCCCAGGAACCCTCACGCTTTTGCAGGAAGAATGCAAAAGGAATGTTAATAATTTCAAATGCCCTTTTCAAGAGCCTGTGTATCTTGGGAAAACTTCATTCTTCCAGGGAAAAGGATGGTTGGATTTAAGAACAAATGGATTTCAGAGCTGAGCTTAAGAAATATACAGGGATCTGCAACTCTATCCAGATAAAAAAAATAATAAAGCTGATTTGGTTTTGGCATTCCTGGGAAGCACACACCAGAAAGGATGGATATCTTTCTACCTAGTGGTAGGATGCAAATGATAAAAGGATACCTCAGTGATGGATATGTTTTAGCTTAGCACACTTTACTTGTCATAAGTGACTGGAGAAAACAGAAAGGTCTGTAATATATGAGAGATTGGACTGGATGATAGAAGGGCTTCTTTTGGCCTAAGACTTTGGGATCTGTAAGCTACAACTACTAGCACACCAGTGGTGGTAAAAATGCTTTTGGGACCTTTTGTGACATAAAGGAGACTTACTTTGTTCTCATTCTCTCAGCCACAGGGCACAGCTCAAACCACTCACCTTCTTCTCTGTACTCCACAGTGTAGCCTGAAATGGTGCAATTGCCTGTACTGGATGGTGGGAGCCAGCGTAGAATCACAGAGGTGCAGCTTCTCTCCTGAGCAATAGGACGGTTTGGGGCAGCTGGGACACCTTGGGAAGAGAAAACAAGCACCAAGTCCAGCATCACATCAACAAGTGCTAGTGCTTTATTCTGAAGATCAGGTGCATCAGGTACATCAGGTCACTATGGAGCAGCTGCACCTCGTAGAGGGAGCACTGTGGTTTACTCTGGCACAGCCAGAGGAAAGGCAGTGTCACAATCTCGTTCACCTACCACTGAGGGGCTGGTACTTCCATATTAGCAGCCAGGAGAGAAGCCTTGCTGCATCAACATGGTCCCACAGTACTAGAGCATGGGGGGAATTTCTTCTTGCTCACAGCTGGTGGTCAGCTCACTGTGAGGCCTAGAGAGCTCCCTGTAAGACCAGCCATGAGAATCACCCCTGGAATGTAGAGGATCTGTTGGACTTCACTAAGTAGCAAGCTAGGTTTTGAGGGTGGGGAGTCCGTTGCCATTGAAGTGTCCAAAAATGACACAAGCAAGGAATTCAGAGCTCTTCAGTGCGTATGAGGCTTTGTGTGCTTGGCAGCAGATTGACAAATGACCAGTAATTCTTCTGTGCTTTGCTTAGTGCTCCCTTCAGCACAGGAGTAGTTAGTGCAGCCACTAACTCGCTTGGATAAATTGGGGAAATTATATCTCTAGGGCATCTGGTGAGGCCAAACAAATTGACTTCTAAATGCACATGACACTGCTGCATCTGTAAGTCTCCAGTTAGACATTCTTCTCTGGACCCTCCCCTTCAAAACAGCAGGCACCTCTCATCTCTCATGCTATCAGATCCCAGAACATTACCTCCAAGCTGGAGGTAATGAGCATCAACTCCTTATGTCGTATTTATTACAATTAGATGGGTCACTAATTACAATGCTGAGAATTCAGGCTTGGAGACATGTCTCTGAGTTGAATCCTGCAGAACAGTTCACCCAGGCCAAATCCTTAATTCACCTCCTCTATCCCCTAGAGAGAGGTGGAGGTGGAAAATTGGTGTCACTGGATCCCAGGTCCCCCTGCTCCAGGCGGATTCTAAAGCCCAGAGCTTCCCGCAGTTAATTGGGGCGTCATCTCCCCAGGCACTCAGCAGCCCAAGGGAGCTGAGCTTCCCCTGGCCGACCTCACCAAGCCCCTGAGAACAGCGCTATGAGCAGGATGCAGGAGCTGAACCAGTGCCAATGCATTTTCATTTCCCAGATGTGATGTTTATGATCAGACGACTTAATCAAGCACAAAGAACATGCAAAGCCTTCAGCCATCAGTGGGAGCTGTGGCTGAGGAATGGCTCTGTGATTTTAACATCTCAATTCACCTGGCACAGCTCCACATCCGGCTGCCTCTGCACTGGCTGTTCCTGTGTGCTCTCAGCCCCCAATAAGGGATCCTGTACAGGAAAAATCCCACATGTTAAGGTCAGATGCACTACCTTGGACTTTGATGGTTGCAGAGGTTGAGGCGGTTCCGTGTTCATTGGTTGCCACACAGGTGTAAATACCACTGTCCTGAGGCATCAGGTTGCAGATCTTCAAGGTGAGCTCTCCGGACTCACTGTGGATGCAGGAAAGCCCCAATTATAAAGTGCTGCTTCACTTGCTAATGGTTTTTATACAGTTCCTGCCCTGCCTTATTACAAACACACAAATCTTGTTAACTTATTTGAAGGAACATCCCCCCAGCAATTTGGTACCTGAGTACAACCCCTCATATATCAGGATCAGGCTGTTAATTAAACCTTTGAGGAAAGCTTTGGTCCAAATTGCCTGCCAGGCAAATCTGCTTGTCTGTTATGGCCTCAGAGGAGGTGATGAAGGATCACTCAAGCAGCAAGCAAAGTTGAGGAGTTGAACATTTCCTATGCATGTGTAGAGCTGTATGCTTAGACTCCATATATGTGGAAAGATCTCCTATCTCAGAATCTTTCCTATCTCAGGAGATGCTGAGCTGCTGTACCTCTGCAGTGAAGTCCAACACACACCAGACAAACTGGGCTTCCTGCAGATGCAGAAAGCAGTCACACAGCACAGGGTGCCTGACATTTCTGGGGAGTTTCGGACCCCTGGAGCATGTGCCATTGATGTTATGTTGCTGCCAGGCCCCCATTCGGAAGGCTGGACATCTCATAAGAGCTGGGGATAAAGAGCACAGCGCCGAGTTCGTGAGAGACGCTCAGTCTTTGGGCCAATCTGAGAAAATAAACAGCTCTGCAGAGTCTAGTGAATTTATAGCAGGTCTGTTCATAGTCACTTTGGTTTCCACATTTCAGTCTTCAAACATGCAACTTGTGGGAGTTGGCCCGAATTAAAGGGTTTTGCTTGTGTAACTGCTATAGCTGTACTGGAGACCCAGCTTAGAGCCAACAGTAAGTTCCCTTGATGGCAAAACTAGGCTAGTTCTCGAATGCTTAATCTGTCGGAAACTGCAGAAGGACATTGCTGGGATAACTGTCTGGACACTGCAGCTTTTGCTGGTCTGACTGTACTGGTTTAAAACAGGACAGAAATATCCTCTTTCCCTGCAATCCAGACACTCGTGCCAGCAAGATCTGTAAGAGGCACTGCTCCTCTGGGCCTCTCCTTGGCAGGCAGTGTCTTCACTGGAAAACGTATATGAGTAACAAGACAATACAAGTGCTGATAGTGCACAGGGAGCCAACGCACAGACAGAGGACTGTGATGAAAACCAGAACCCTGTATGGAAAAATCCCCCCATCCCAACCCCAGCCAGAGCCTGAAGATAAGGCACTGGCGATCTACTAAGTAATGGCTAAAGACAATTTCTGATGCTCTGGGGCAGTCACATAAGCAAATGGTCTCTGAAGAAAGCTCCTGATCATATTTAATTTTTTTTTATTGAACATGTAAAATCCCTTCTCTCTTAGTGTTCATTTTTCACTTTCAGTGGCTTTGTACTTCCTGGATTCATTTCAGCCTGAGCCAGAAGCGCTGAAAAGTTCAAATGAAAGATTGCCTCCTGGAGATTTCCACTGCAGTTTGGCCCAAATTGCTTATATAAGCTTATATAAGCTGCAGATGAGCATCCAGCATCAGGCTGTTACCTGACCTGAATTCAACTCCAGATCTTTCTGAATCTTCCCAATGCTTATTGTAAAGATAGTTTTCCTCCTCCCTAGCCAAGCTGGAAACATCACGACAAGCATCTTTCTGTCCAAGCACAGCCAGATGTAGCCTTCCCAGGAGCACATATGGGCTTTTTTAGGAACAGCTGAGGAAATGCTCAGAAAACTGCAGGAGTTGCCACCTCTGCCCATAAGATGAGAAAATGCCCAATAATAGTATTGCAAGCTGGTGGGGGCTTGCTCTGCTTGAGTCCCAAAGGTGAGCATGGCATCAAAGTCAAGCAGAGAAACCCTAGCAATGCAGAAGCAATATTAGCCAAACTAGCAGGCTGTAAGCATTCTGGCTTCTGGCTTACAGCTGGCTCAGGAGGTCAACAGGAGCAAGCTCACATCTGCCAGCAGCACACTCAGCTCAGGAAACAATAGGGCTACCTGAGCCCCAAAGTCTGACCCTTTCTAGCCAATGTGTGGTGCACCCATGTGCCTGTACACCATGCCAGACTTGATTAACTGCATTTCTAATGAGTCTTGTAGCTGGGCTGGTGCCATATTTGAGCAGAACATGACCATCATGACCAGCTATGTTGGGATCCACAGGCAGGACCTTACCAGGATGACACCGTGTAACTGGCTGTGCTGTTGTCATTGTCAAGAATGTTTTGATCTGGTCCTTTCCAGGTTATAGTTGGTTTGGGTCGTCCACAGACTTTGCATTGCAGCATCACCGTGTCACCAAGCAGGCAAGTGATGTCCACTAATGGCACAAGAAACTCGGGAGCCACTGTAAAAAAAAACCCATGGGGACACACACATGACACCTTTTATCTAGAGGATGTCTAGAGTCATACAAGTCTAGAGGATACATTACAGGACCAACTATGGGATCTGGGTCCCAAACAGGTGGGGGTCCTGGGATTATTTTACCAAAACTCCCCTTCATTAAAAGCCAGCTGTCAACAGCTCAGAGAAGGAGGTAGTGGGAACTGTTCACCCTCAGCCCTGTGCCCTGGCAGGAGGATGAGACTTTGTGAGGGCAGGTTCAGCCTCTCCCTTCAGAGGGAGGGTTCAGCCTCTCCCGTGGCCCTGGGCTGTCTGACTGAGCAGCCAGCAGGAAGCCCACTTTCCCTGGGGATTGAGCAGTGGAGAGCTGCCTTTGCTGCAAATGCTGCCTTTGCTGCAAATGCAGGGTGCAGAGCATGCTGTGGCACCAGAGTAAATCACAGCTGCTGCACAGCTGTCCTTAACTCACCTTCTTGAATGAAATTGGGGTTGATTATCTGCAAAATACAAAGAGATAAAAGCATTTATTTTCTGGATGGTAACAAAGAAACATCTGATTTCACAAGGTGATGAACCTGACCAGTACTGCAGAAGCACAGATCAGTGGCAACAAGTGCCTTCTAACAACCAGAAGGTGCAGCAAGCTTTACTGACAACAGAACAGGCCTGGGCACAGCTGGGAAAGTAAAGGAAAGCTATGGCTTCTTCAACTCTGATAAAACATCACAGGTAACAGGCAACAGCACCAAGGCTGAGGAGGGTGGACGTGCTTTCTCTTTGCCTGGGTGATAATGCTGAAGCCATCAACTCTTCTTCCCAACTCTTCTTGTGCTCCTCCCACGCCTGGCTCCAGACCTGTGTTGCACAGCACCTGCAGTCACCACATACCTGGGGCATGTCATGAATACTCTGGCCACTAACCAGGTTTGGGGAAATGTCTTTTAAATTCTGCTCAGCTTCAGGAAAAAAAAAAAGTAAAGCACTAAACCAGAAATACTTCATTTTGCCCACTGGTGAGGATCTGCAACAACTCTTGGTTTATCACAGTGAATAAAAATTCACTCATTTCACCGGACTGCTGGAAACTTTCCAACTTGAAACTATATTTGAATAACAAGGAATTATTTTATCTAACTAGTTAATTGATCAAGTTATCAAAGGCTTGAAAAGCTAGTCTCTCTGTGGTCTCTGTGTGCTAACTTTATTTCCATGTAACCCTGGTAGCAAAGTAGGGAAAAGCAAAGACAATGCCACTAAGTTCTTACACACAGAATCAACCCTACCTAAATTGTGGTTACAACAGTATAGGGGTTTTAGCCTTCTTAACAGTTTTAATAATCTCATAAGGCCTTGTTATTAAAATTCAAGCTAATAATTTCATATCAAACACCAGAAAAACCCAATGTGGTTTATCTCACCTTAAATACCTTTGTTACTATTTATTTCAGAGCTATTTTGGAAGATGCCAATGAAGCAGTGACCTAATTCGTGGCCTGACAAAGCTGATGGGAGGTTTTTGCAGAGGCTCAGAAACCAGGCCATGAAATAGAAGCAAAAACCATTCAAAATAAGGTAGATGCATCTTCAAGATTTATATTTACATTTTGGCTTTATAAATAGTGTTCCAAGGTGAATGGCTCAGGGTGCCATTCAAGGAGGCACTTGGGCATATTCAGGTTCACTTTGGTTCCACAGCTCTTCTTTATAGCCCCAAGCAAAGCTGTGGTACCAGCACTGAGACCTCAGGCTCTGCTTTCCCCTATCACCACCACAAAGCCCAAATGAACTGGGCATAACATGGACTTGCCCCTCACAAATATTCGTTTTTTCCCCCACAGAAACATACTTGACATCAACAAATTCCTTTCCATTTGAGACTGAGAGCTTCCTTTGTCCTAGCAATAGGCAGAATTTGATCCTTTGGGATACATCTACAGGGAACAGAAGGCTCACAGAACCGGCTGAAACAACTAGTCATTGCCAGTGCTTTACACATGGCACTCCAGAAACAAATGGAGGCTGCTGCTGGCTGGCAAAACGGGTCTCAGTCCCGACCACACAGCCAGTCAGTCTGTACCTGGTGGACAAAAGCGATGGTTTGGACTTCCACATGCTCCCAAGAGTGTTGAGAGATTTTAAACACATCATTCCCAGCATCCTGGAAGGAGCAACCTTTATCTACATCCCTAGAGAAAACTTTTGGAGCACTATTACTATAATTAGAGCTTCTTATTTTTTTTAAAGTCATGTTTGGGGCATCTCTGCAGTGGGGAGGTCATGCCACCCTTGCAATGGGATGGCATGGTTTGGCTCAGCTGGCAGGAGCCTGAGCAGGTGAGAGCCAGCCCAGCTCTTTGGGTCCTGAGTCAAATCTTCCTCCTGCCTGCACCTCCTGGCCCTGGTTTCCCAGGCAGTGGGAAGCACGAAGTCCCATCTGAAGGGTGCAGCTGGGCACTGACGCCAGGACATGAACCTCTGGCCACCCAGCCCAGAAACCTCTGAAAGGGTGAGGGACTCAGAGGCAACAACTGTAGTTCTACAGGGTCCAGAACTCACATATGGCCCCCAGGACCCTGCAGACAGGAAGAAATCGGGGCACAATGGGGTACTGGATGAAGAACATCCTCTCTCCCCTCTGTGCATGGGAAGAAAGAGAGATGGATCTCAAGTTGTATTGCTCACACAAAAGAGCAAAGAAAGAAAAAGCTGTTCTGTGGATACCATTGCTTGCCACTTTCCCTCACAGAGATGCCGTCTACTTTTCAGTAGTACTTTCAGTCTACTTTTCAGAGTAACCCCAGGCATCAGCTCATTTGCACATACATCTTCATTTTTGTAGTGTTTGGCTTAACTGAAATAGAGATCCATCCTCTAAAGCTCTCCCCTTCCTTCCCTGCAGCATGTACTAAATTCCCTTATTATTCACTGATCTCCATCCCTGTAGGATTAGAGATCAGGAGAAAGAAACACCCGTAACACTTTATATTAATTTTATAACTCTAAAGGATTCATTAGAAGATGCAACTACAATGATGAATGTAATGAATGTACCTACAAATAAAGAATTCTACATTTCTAGTGACATCCAACGTACAATAATTTATAATAATTGCCTTACCGATGTTTTTTTCACCATGGGAATAGCAGAAATAAAATTATTACTGCTAGATAATATTGGAAGAGTTTGTGGGTAAAATTTACGTTTTCTCTCCCAAAACTTCATCTTTTAATTAATCAAATGTTACCTAACAAAACCCCCACAGCCACGTCACAGCTTTTGCCTGCTGTAAGCTTAGAAAAAAGTAAAAGTCTGTTTGCATGAGAATGTTTAAGTGCTACCAAAGCACATCACTTAATTCGGGAACAGGATTTGGTCTGTTTTGAAGGAAGGGGTCAAATGATGGGGTGAGAAGGGTAGAAATGGGAAAGCAAAAGTTCACAGCCAGATCCACTGGTTCACACATTTGCTCCCAGGCCCTGGGGGTTTGCTGCCTCTCTCTGCAGGCTGGCCGGGTTTCCAGGCTATGGGTGGATAGCAGGAGAGAGCAGCCTCCAGAGTCCTTCTAGACTAAATGCGAGACCTTTGGAGACAATTTCTTCATTTGCCAAATAGGTTTTTAATTCCCATGGGTGGAGAGGGGGCTCCAGAGCGTGGCCTCACTGCCCTCAGAGGATGGGAATCACATACTGCTCGCACAGAGCCTCCTGCTGGTGCCAGGGCTGGTTTCCCTGGTGGATGCACTTGCCAAGTATCTCTTTAAAATGATGCTCTGTACAAAAAGCTATATGAAAAGATCTTAAAGTCCGTGGAAGTAACTCTTCACAATTCTCTTCCTCTTTCTTCCTCAGGGATTTGCAGAGAGATGAAAGCCAGGCCAGGTTGCTCTGAAGAGCAGAAATCCCTGTGGGTAAGGGCCCAGATGGGCTTCTGGCAAGCAGGGTGAGGTGCTGTGCACTGACATGGTGATTATGGGCAGGGGGTGCAGGTCCCCTGCAGCCACTGAGGCTCAGGGGTCACCACATGCACCTGCAGCACATGATGCTGCCAGGGATGTTTGCATGGGCAACATGGTGGGCTCCAAATCCAGGTGACTTCTCCCTCAGAAAAAAGGATCTGAAAGACTGCCCTCTCCAGCACGTTTCCCCCCTTTTTAAAGCCCCTGCCCATCCTTGGGAGCTCCCACACAAGATGAAGGGCAGCAGTGGTGTTTGTGGGGATGCAGGAGTCCTGGCTTCTGGGCATCACTGCCTCAAGGAATGCCCTGCACTGCTTTAACAGGTGGAAAAAACCCTGCTGGATATGTGGCTTTTGTGGATTTTTACTTCTCTCTAAAAAGCAATATGAGGCTCAGTCCTGACAGCCATAACCTGGCCATGGGGCCATAAGCAGAGGAAGGTGGGCCAGGGTCTCATGCTGACAAAGGCTCCCTGAAGAAATCCCAGCAAACACCACCTGCCCCAGTGTGGCTGCCAGTCTGGCCTGTGAGCAAACAAACTCACTACCCAACATGAAACCTTCTCACACCATCTTCAGTGTCAGTCCATACCATGCAAACACAAACCCTAAGGGATGAAACTTAGTTGGCAAAGCAGGTAGGAAACACAGCTTGCTCTTTTTTCTTGGAACAAAATTTTAATTGAAATGAGATAGATTTTTTTTTTCCACTGGATGAAATACCTGTAGCTTCATCCAGCGTAGGTGAAAACTTGCAAGGCTCCCTCCACGGCCAGGAGAGTTTCTGTTTCCCATACAGTGAGAGCTGAAAATGGAAACCCTACACAAGGTGATAAAGGGAGAACATGAAAGAGCCTCTGCTCAAATGATGCGGGGTCTAACACTGATCAGGCAAAGACAGGCAGCTGGAGGGAGGGGTGTGAGATAAAGAAATGGGAGATGTTTCAGGGTTATTCAATAAAAAGTCAGAAATAGACCTTCCTTCTCCCTCCTCCAGCCTGCATGGTTTCAGGACTCAAATCAAGAAAGGCACATGAGACACGTACTTGAATGCCTTTGAGGACCTGCAGGGATCTAAGAGACTTAGATCTATGTGAATTAAGTGTAACTCAACAGTCAGGCTTTAGAAAAGCGGCATGGGTGCTTCATCCAACAACTCAGCATTCTGCAGTATTGGGCCACTTTTTTCCTCATTTCTTAAGCTCATGTTATAAAGACAGAAAGGCATCTGCAGCAGTAACTGCCAAGTCCCCTTCCAAAGCGACTCCAACTGCCCTAATTCTTAGCAAAAGCTTATCTTTCATTTGTGCACACATGCTTTATCTGGTGGGGAGTGAGAAGCCACTGGTCCCGAAATGCTCTGAAAGCACAGCTCGGCTGCCTGAGAGGGTTCTCACCTTGGCCAGAGTTTGCTTTTCCATTGCAGAGAATGTCCTTGCCATTCCTACTCCACTTCCCTGAAGGAGGCTTATGCCCAATTCAGACACACCAATGCACAGAAGAGTCTTGCAGATGCCTGTATTTTTCTGATGCTATGTTTCA